AAATGTTACAATTCTTCCAGTGTTTGTGAAGCCTGGGAAATGCCAGCCCCTCGCATGAATGTTGTACAGGTGCTGTGAATCGTGGTCTTTGGAGTCTGGAGCCATAGGTAAACCTGCATGATCCAAAGAAAAGTCTCGCAAATTAAAAAGTACCACACACATTACATTAGAATGCCTTACGTCAAATGAACTATGCTTCCTATATACATGTATTTGGGCGGAGTCTGAAACATAAATACACAATATTACACAAATACAGAACAGTTTACAATCATGCCACTGTCGGTCGCCACTGTGCAGCGCCCTGTATTTTGAGCTAGGGTTGTCGTGTCTTGCTCAAGGACACACACCAGTGACCACCCATCTAAACCCCCGTGTCACCGACACTTGCTTGACATTACTTGCGTCTAAACTCACTACTCACTTAGCCACTGGAGCCCCCATGAAAAACGTTGCATGTCGCTTGGTAGCGGATTGGGTAAACAAAATAGTAAGTAAAATGAAAAGATCATGAAATGTTCCTTTTCTTTTCCTCGTCGGGAAGCTTTGCGTTAAAATGGAATAGATCTATGCCAAGCATTGTAAAATAGCTTAATTAATGTTACATCTAGGTTAATATCATACCAACACAACCTAACAAACACGGCATCGCGGTCGATATTGTGCAGCGCCCCCTGTTTTGTTTGTTTGCTTCTTTGTTTATTTGTTTTCTTTCTTTCTTCCTTTGTTTGCTTGTTTGTTTGTTTGTTTGTTTGTGCTAGGAATATCGCCTCATTACTCAAGGACCCCACCCATTAACTAGCCATAAATAGAATGTTTGCAGACATTGCTTTCCACTGTTTGTGAGCCTTTGGTCACTAACCTCTCATAGAACGTTGGAAGCTGAGCTGGTATTATCCTGGGGTACGACGCTGATGACCTTGGCAGTAAATTCCCAGCGAGGTGTTTCTGAACTTTGGTCGGCAGCCTTTTGAATATGGAAATTAAACTTTTTAAATAACCAATCAGTATTGAAGGAGCAAGGGTTTTTTATGATGAAAATTAATTGAAACCACACTCCCATACAACTGCCTAGACATACCAAAGGTATTATTGCGTGTTACTCTATTATTATATCTGGCCCACAGAAGGCAGCGCAATCCTAATCCTGACATGGAACAATAGTACAACAGAGATACGAATTTCTGACAACACACACGGGAGGTCACCACAGCTAGTTTTCTCGAGAGTTCTGTAGTACTAACCCCCTCCCCCTCA